CCCCCGCGGCGGGGGTCCGGGGGTCAAACCCCTACCCTGGCTTTGCTTCCAGGGGCCTGCGCCTGACAACCCTGTCGGTACCATCTCTCCATGCCCTGGCCTACCCCTTACCCCGTGGATGTGCACCTTCACCTTGGTACCTGGTGACGTTATGTCTGTCGAAGTTAGTCAGTCCTATCTCCCTGTCACTTATGTCCAGGTCGGTAGGATTCTGTGGATGTGGTCATAGAACCGTAAGTCTAGCCTGAGTGGTGAGTCAAAACCTCTCAATAGAAGTTAACCTGTTCGGTCTACGTGTTGAGGCGCGGAATCGTTGTTGATTGTGCACTTTCACCATGGTGACCACCAGGACTGGGTTTAGTACCACCCCCTACAACAAGGAGCAAGAAGAGAGAGCTGCCGTCCTTCTGCGTGAAAGGAAGGAAAAGATGGAGAAAAGGGAGAGGAGGTGGAGAAAGAAGAAGAAGAAGAAGAAGAAGTAGAGGAAGAAAAGCCATTGGAGAGAAGGAGAGGGGAAGCGAGCACAAGCAAAGAAATTGAGATTGCAAGGATTGCAGAAGAGTGGGCCGCACATTTGGAGTTGGCGGCAGCAAGGAGGCAGATTGAGACAGAAAGGGACCCGGTGAGGAGAAAGGCGAAGGAGGAAGAACAGCAAATGACATGGAGATACAGGCTGTCCCAAGAGAGGGTAAGACAATTGGAAGCGGCGGAAGAGGCAGAGAAGGATCTGAAAGCGGCGGAGACTAGGATGGGAATGAATCTTACCGCGGAGCAGCGGGAAGATTCATTCACCTTTTTTTCATTACGAAATCGTAATTAAAACGAGGTGAATGAATCTTCCCTCTGTCCACGGTAAGATTCATTCTCTCTCTCTCTCTCTCTCTCTCTCTCTCTCTCTCTCTCTCTCTCTCTCTCTCTCTCTCTCTCTTTTTCACTGCCCGGCGAACACGCCGGGACTCTCTCTCTCTCTCTCTCTCTCTCTCTCTCTCTCTCTCTCTCTCTCTCTCTCTCTCTCTGTGTGTGTTGCTGAGTCTTACCACCACATCGCGCGCCGTGCTTTTCCTTTTGTTTTCGTTTTATTTTGAATCTCCTTTTTTTTTCTGTTTTTTCTCTTTTCATTTCTGATTTTTTTTTTTTAATTGGCGACCGGGCGTTCGATCGCCCGACCCCCTAAAGTCGCGGCGCATTAACGGCCGCATCTTTTTTTTATAGCTGGTAGAGGTACTGGTTTAATAATGTGCATATGTAGAGCAGGGCCTCCGCGTATCATCTGCTAAAAACAAAGACGAAAGAAAACCCTGAAAAGTCGGTGTCCGGCCGAACGTAAGGGGGGGGAACGCTCCTGTTCTAGTTCGGCCCCGGCTGAACCCTGGCTACCTTCTTCTTTCCCTTCTTCTCTTGCGCCGCCTCCTCCCTTGACTCTAATGCTGGCTTGATCTCTTTTCGACCTGAAGATTGACCCATCCAGATTTGATACCTGTACCATCGCATTTCACGGAAGCGGCTTGGAACTCAGTAACCTGTTGTGAGCAGGGATGGAAGGGTGCGGAGCCGTCCGGTTAAAGGCTATGCTGAGGAGCCAGTAATTGAAAGAAGCCACTTGGAATTTTGTGCCCGCTTCGTTTGTGACTTTCGGTCTTTGAAAAGAGAATCTAGGTCATCTCCCTTCCTCCTGGTCCCTCAAGGGCCTCCCTGATCGACACAGAGAAATGAAAAGCAGATTGCAATTGAAGTGGGGGCTGGAACTTGAAATGGAAAGTCGGACGAGGATACTGAGACTATGCGAGTGGCTTTTCGTTTGCGTTTGCACAGCACTCTTCTGGGAAAGGGAAGGTGGGGTCGGGTGGTTAGGTGGAGGGAAATGAGAGTGTGGGCGGGAATCTCAATGAGGTTATTGTGGGTTGGGGTGTAACAACCCTTCTCCCGCAGCATTGGATCCAGGGAAAAAAATCTCGCCGCAGTGAAATGTCCTTTCCTAAATGGCCATTTTGTTGGTGGCCGCTGACATTGAGGCAAACTGTTAAATGTGCACAGGAAACACAAACCTTCTTCACATCTGCCTAAGTTGAAGCAAACTGTTAAATGTGACTGAAACGTCACTAAAGTGGAAGCTGAGAGGGTATGGCTGCTGGTGTTGATATGCTTCAGCGGACTTTGCACCGGGGTGCTATTTGGAAGAGTGATATACCCTTGGGAGGGTGAGCGGAAGTTGTTGAACTGGTTTTTGTTGTATCTAGTCTGACGGTGGAGTTAACCTATTGTTGGATGGATTAATGCCAACCACTTGGCACTCTTGGCAGGTACAACTTCCGTCCCATGCAGACTTACAGAATGCTCACTTTGGAGGAGGCAGAGCAACAAATGGCAAATAGAAGGAAGGCGTTCCAGAAGATCATGATGAAGCCATTAGATGCAAGTGGAGGAGATGGTGATGCATTAGCTGGATCTGGAGTAGGTGGGAGGAGATTCAAAGGTGAAAGCGATGATGATGGTTCACCTCGTGGAGATGGTGACAGCGACGATGATGAAGCAAGGAGAAAAGAGAAGTTTGGTGCCAAACGGGGGAACAAGGACGAAAAGGGCGACGATGGTGAAGATGCAGCAGATGACCCTGAAATTGACCTGGATGATGACGAGCCTGAAAAAGGTGTGCCACCATACCTTGGCACCTTCATCCGTACTTGTGTCTTTCTTTATTCATCTTTGAAAGGGGGGAAGCATGCAACTCTGGGGAATGGGAGAGGGTTTGAGCTGTTCATTATCCAAGGGGTGCACCAGTGTACTGTTGGGAAGGCACATACACGTAAGCATGTCTTCAATGCTGTGGATCGCATCAGCTCTGGGCTGAGCACGAGATTAGCCCCCGGTGAATTGCTCAGGTGCATGATCGACTGTGCTCAGCTCATGCATATGTATTGCTCAGGTGCATGATCAACTGTGCTCGGCGCATGCATACGTCTGCCTGGCTGCGCGCGCGTGTGTGTGTGTGTGTGTGTGTGTGTGTGTGTGTGTGTGTGTGGGAGGGAGAGAGAGAGAGAGAGAGAGAGAGAGAGAGAGAGAGAGATATGAGGATGCAAACCGGGGGGGAGATGTTTGTTGTCCATCGGGTGTAAGTCTGCGCCATTCAGGTCACTGTAACTACTCCTCTGGCTGTTCCCTGTTCGCTGTTTGCCCTTTTTCTCTGCTTTCTCATCTTTTAATGTGCCCGTTTCAATTCTTTGTTGTGATGGGCTTGTGGTAAAGCCCACCAGTAGTCATTCATGAACAACCCTGCTTTAGAGGAATATGGGAGTAAACTTGATTTGCTGTAGGTGATGATTGGGAGCACGAGGAGACGTTCACAGATGATGATGATGCGCCTGGAAATGAGCCAGAGGAGAAGGAAGAGGAGAGACCACCGACACCACCCCCTGAAATCAAGGAGGTAGGACAGCTTTACGTCCCCGTTATGTTCTTGAAGCCTAATGCCCATCCTTGTGACACCCATATTGCTGGTTGCTTCCCTATCATCCCTCATGCTCACCACTTGTGTTATGAATGTCGAGAATCTCAAGTACTTCTATCCATCGTTCCACTAAGACGCTGGATTGATGTGAGATAGCACTTGATTTCAAGTCCACAAAAACTGGAATTGAACAATCACTGGAATTGAACAATCACTCCCAAAACAGTTGATGAAATCAGAAAAAAAGTGAACAGCAAGAAACAATCCAGTGAACAGCAAGTTTTCATTGGCTTTGTCTGCTCTCTCTTCCCACTCCCCCTGAAGCAGTGCTCAAATTAGCACACCACGAGTCTCACAGAGCGGCAAAAGTGTCACGAACGAATTCCGAACGAGGGTTTTCCCCCAACTCGTCCCTTTTGAGGAGCTGCTACTAGCCTCGGCCGATGGCGTCTGCCTACGAAAAGAAACCTCCAAAAGTACCGCCCAAAAAGGTCCTACCACTATGCTAGGCAAACAGACACTCTACATGCAGGTCCGGGGCTAAAAACTCACCAGTTTTAAAACAGTAAAGAAACGTTTGTGCAAGGAAAATGAGTAACAACGAAATGGCAGAATTCCAAATTGCAACATCAAATTGAAAGCCAGATAGTCGGGAGCTGTCGAGAAAGCAGAAATGCACCGAAATCACACCAAAGGAGAACCAAAGCAGCAAACTCAATTGGCAATTCAAGCCCTCTCTCGCGACCATCAACCATGTATCCAAAGTTCTTCCTCCGTATTGGCACTCAGTGCCCAGACTACACTCACACAACTCCTAATATAGCCTACTCTAATGACGAAGCAAGCAGATGATGTTAACAGCAGCAACCAAAGTACATGCGGATGTCGTCCATGCAACCAGGTACATGCCCTCTCGCCCTTTCTCTCGCTTGCTCTCGTCTTGTTCACCCTCGTCCTTACCCCCACGTTCCTTCCTCAACCAAGGACCACTGCCAGCCCCACTGAGCCTTGCGCCCAAGCCCGGCTATGGAAGGCTTGGTGCCGCGTTGCCTCGGGCGGCACCCTTCTCTTCGCGTGTGCCCACACACTTCCAGCCAGCGGCCAGACCAGCGGCCAGACCAGCGCCCAGAATGGCAGCGCTGCTGCAGCTGCATCTCGTGACCAGGATCTTTCCTATATGGAAAGCGGCCTGTCCCAAAGGCTGCTTGGACTGGGAGACTTGTGTGCCCAGTAGCTTCAAGTTGGGCCAGAGTGTCTGCGCCCAGGCCCAATTCAGACAGTGGCCTGGGTCCGAAACAGTTGAGGGCTCCCAACTACCCGACGTGGCCTGAGTTGCTGTCTGCATTGTGATAGGCCGAAAGGACTGCTCCAATGTCAAGCCCAGAAGACCCTAGAAGGCTCAGGGAAAACTCAGTTGCTCCCAAGCAGCGCCCATGTAACCAACTGGCATGTCATAATTGTCTGGCGCCCAAGTGGGCCACAAAATGGCAAATTTCAGACCTCAATGAGATGTGCGGGCCTGCCTTCACCAATGGTGGGCACAAGGCTTGCAATGGGGCCCCATAAAGGCCTGCTGAGGACAAGGATCCTCCGACTCCCTCCTCCATTACATCGATAGTTGTTACATCTTCGACGCCACACGGGTCCTATCGGACCCGACTTTGGGCCAGAGGGACACAGTAGGGCCTAGAGGCCCAGACTTGGGGGTACAGCAGGCCGAAAGGTCACATTTTTGGGGGTACGACATTCTCATTTTGGGCCTGGCGGCGTTTTTGAGGCTGCCGCCCGCCGATCCGATCTGAATCGTCAATCTTGACGGTTCAGATCACGGCCAGGCCTCGCAGCATTGAGGCCGGCCTCTTTTCCACCGGTACTAAAGACCGGTGCAGCCTCATTGTGAGGCATCGAGCCACTGGCATGCTGCATCAGCGCCAGTGCGTATCGGTTGAGGCAGAGCACTAATCTTAACGCATGTTACATGCACAGATATGCAATGTACGTAATAAACCGAGAATCTGCAATATGATGAAAATGACTGAATAGACAATGCGGTAGGAGTAGAATCTCGACAAGCAATGTACATTCTCATTCATACATAAAGATGCTGAAGAGCGCAGGGAAGACTTTGATACAAGACTGACCTCATTCACGTAGTTCAGAGTAACGAAGCAGAACGCTAGAGTAGCTCTAACTAGCCCAATCAATGTTTGAACTCAGACTAGACATGCATTGTATCCATCATGAAGTGTGAAGGAGCCTGGCGCTGCACACAGGAAGAAAGCGGCAGGTCCAGACATACACAGACGAAGAGATAAGGAACAGACGAAAGGAGGGAAGAAGATGGGAATGTCGTTAACACCAAGTCTTGGTCACCAATCCCAAATAGTCCCTCGTTGCCATGTCTGAACCCTCGAAAGTCGAGTCTGGATCCAATGTCACCAAGCTCTGTATCTCTTCTCTCATAGTCTGCAGATGCAGTGGAGTCCGAAGTGAGAGGGAGAGAAGAGATGGTGGACTGAGAAGAAGAAAAAGAAGAACTCTCTCTCTCTCTCTGTTACGAACCAAGTACTAACCTGTGATGTTGGCGCTGTGCTGCAGGTACCTCGAAGACGAAGCTGGAGCAACGGCGCTGCAGGTAGGTACCTCTGGCCTCCGCCCAAGCTCTCTCTCTCTCTCTCCAGTACTACCTACCTATGGCGCCCAGCGCTGGAGACTACAGCTACCTACTGCGCCCAGCGCTGAAGACTACTAGCTAACGCTACCACGACTACAATGCAGCGCTCCCTCCAGAGTGCTGCACCCGAATCCTGAAGACTACAACTACCAACTGCCTACCTCGGAAGTGCCTGGTAAGTCCTATGTACTACCTCGGCCTGCCTCCTGACTGCAGGAGGGCGAGCAGGCCGAGGAGGCAGCTCTTGCCAATGCCGAAGTGTGCCAGGGGCTGGCGTGCAGCAGCCTGCTCGAGGCTGGCGTGGGAACAGTCTAAAGATAGGCTGTTCCCCAAAACCCTGGTTTGGTGCCTGCGTTTCAGGGCCGGTCGTTCTGATGAACGACCGAATATGGCCCTTCGTTTCAGGCTAAAAAGGCTGTTGCCATTTTTAGTCTGAAACGACCAGGGATAGGCCCTGAACTTCAGGCTTTTGACCTGAACCGACAGGGGGCCTGTAAGCCCTGGATTTCAGGCTTTCGGCCTGAAGTTCAGGCTTTTAGCCTGGACGGACGCGGGCCTGCAAAATGGCCCGTGTGTGCATGCGCTGCATGTAACGGCGCAGGAGCGGAGAAGCAGCAGCAGCGACGAGCAAGGAGCTGGGCAGCAGCCATTGGCAGTACGGCGGCCATAGCCGCGACCTGCAGTCGGACGGCAGCACAGCCAGGTACCAGGAGGCGAGGGGGTTTTCTCCTCCCTCTACGGCCCTCGGCTGTCTCCTCCTCACCTCCTCCTCCTCTGCCATCTCTTCTCCTTCTTCAGACTTCTTCTTCTTCTTCTTCTTCTTCTTCTTCACACTTCATCTTCTTCTTCTTCAGACTGGAGACTTGATACTAGTTGGACAGAGATCAGTGTTGGACTTCGGTGGTAAGAGGCTGTGGTACTTACGGGATTCGAGACTTGGAGATTGTTGGGGTTGATACTCGGAAGCATCACAGATTGGACACCGGTTACATTAGGACTCGGTCCCTCCGACGTTGGTGACTTATTGTCCACGACATTTTGATCTTGTTCGATGACATTTTGGATTACCATATCGGTGACCTACTGGATTCTATCTCGGTGACCTACATCTCCCACCTCTTTCGTCTCTCCTCCCACCTTTCATCTGTGTATGCGTGTACGGGGCCTGAGCATCATCTATGATTGGCTCAGACCCCACCCTCTCACGATTGTTTGTGTGTGGAGTGATATCTGTGTGAGTCAGCCTATGTGAGTCGGTCCATTTATCAGACTTCTGCTGCATACATGCTCATCCCACACCGGTTGATCTTTGGTTCTGCCCCATGCTGGTTGAAGTATTCACGAGTATGTAACAATTGCCCTCCAAGAAGTCGTTAATCAGAAAGCTGCTTCCCTTTCAATCCCCTCTTTCATAACCTGTGGCAACTTGTGGAGCAGTCTTCATCAACTCTTCCCTTGTAAACCAGCGATCCACTTTGGGATTGACATGGTGCCTGAAACGTACCCTGTACTGCATCTGCAGTTTGGGTGGTCTCCCTCTTCCTGGTGGTTTAGGGACTGGCATCGTCTTGTGCTCAATGATATCGTCAATGTTGTCTTGTCCATCCATGGTTGATGTAGACCACCCAAACCGCAGATGCAGTACAGGGTACGTTTCAGGCATCATGTCGATCCCAAAGAAGATCGCTGGTTTACAAGGGAAGAGTTCATGAAGACTGCTCCACAAGTTGTCACAGGTGACGAAAGACGATTGAAAGGCAAGCAGCTTGCTGATTTACGACTTCTCAGAGGACTATCGAAGTAATGGAGGAGGGAGTGTGAGGATCCTTGTCCTCGGCAGTCCGTTATGGGGCCCCACCGCAAGCCTTGTGCCCGCCCTACGGGCCGCACATTTTGTTCAGGCCTGAATTTTGCCATTTTGTGGCCCTCTTGGGCACCAGACAGTTGTCACATGCCAGTTGGTTACATCAGCCCTGCTCGCGAGCAACTGAGGCCTACAGAGGCCTGCCGAGGACAAGGATCCCCGTATTTGGCTCCACAATTACAAAACTAAACAAACAACTGTACTTACTTTGTGTGGTTCCAGGTTGATATCCTGGCAGGAATAAAAAAACAACAGACACTTCAAATATAGCAAATAGTTGGGCAGGCTGCGGGTTCAAATCCCACAATCCGAACACATGAGAAGATATGGGCCAAAGCATGGACTTACAATTGCTCTAGCAAGTTGCAGTGACTTGCTGATTCTGCAGCCTGCGGCCTGTTGAACCGAGGCTATAACATAGATAGGTCAGATTTGTAATCTTGTTGTACTGAGGGCTAACCGTGATACCCGCCTGTGGGGAAATTCGTGAGGGACATATCTGCAAATTTGGGAAAATTTCGGGCCCTGACGCTTTTAACTTTGTTCAAAAAAAACATTTTTCAGACAAAGAAATTAGTATGGTTTTTGACACGATGCATTCTAATAGATATAGATCTCTATCTATATCTATAATATGTTAATAAGAATATATCTATAATAAATCTATAATAAGAATATATATCTAAAATATCTAAAATAACGATTTCTATGATCATAATTTATATATTCATTTATATTTATATATTCATTTATGATTGATACTATAATAAATATCAAGAATTCTTTAATTTCATGCAAATGAGACTTGGCGGGTACTAACTCGGATTTCCTATATCCACCCTAGCTGCATATAGCAGGCCCGGGCTACCACATGGACAGACAGGCCTGAGGGCCTATGCTGATAGACTGGTCCTATAGCTTATAGCCGAGTAGTAGATCTATTAATAGGATGGGAGAGTGTTCAGGGCTTTTGGCAGTTGGTACCGGGTACATCGCGGTGGTCGTAACTGGAGTGGTGACAACTTCAGCGTTAGAGGAGACGGTCATAGCTTGACCCCCGAAGCGGTGACCGTAGCTGGGTCCTTCGCTGTCCTGTGCTGCCCAGAGGTTTGGCCTATCTGAGGTCTGCTCGGATCGGAGAGAGTAGGTGCCCTGTCGAACCCTCCTCAAGAGTAGGGTTTCGGGTAGTGGTGTTGGAGCCATAGCTGCAGCTTATATCCTCAGAACTCTTCTTTGTCAGGAAAGGTGGCGCTGCTGCAGATCTTCATCTGTGAAGTCATCTGGCACTTCGTCTTCATTAGGGACTGTGGCGATGATCTTCTTCTTCATCTTCTGAGAGGCGCTTGGCCTTAGGGGCCTGTTTCGGGTTGGCGCTTCCCTCTGGAGGCAGGAACGGGTACTCAGAGTTGGGAAAGAGGCGCTGCTCTTTTCTGAGCAGCGTACCATGGTTATGAGGCTATTCTCACAAAACAATAAACAATGATGACTATCTTTGCTTCATTGTTTTCTGCATGTGAACTACTCGACTTTACTGGTGTGGGGATTCTGCGGAGCGAATTGCACTTCAGTGTGTTCTGTCATATCGCATGGATGAGTTGGAGCAACTATAATCATTTGGCGAGACACTAGTGTTGAATTTCATGGCGATTTCTCATCTTCTCTGTTGGCGACAGTCAAGGTGGTAGTGACAAGTGTGTGACAAGAAGAATTGGACAGGGGATTGACTCACTTCTGCTCAGGGTAGTACAAAAGTCGGTGGCGATTATCACTCAGAGGCCTAGGAGGCTTTGAGGAGGCTATTTTTAGCCTGACGATTCATCTGGGACTGGCGATTTGCAAGGAAGCGACCCCTTGATTGTTGCAATTTCGGGATTGCACCACGATCCCCAACTCCCAAGCAGCGCAGGGCAGGTTTAAGCAGCACTACACTGATTTTCTCAGTTATTGACATCTAGGAGTCCAGATTCATTGAATCTGTCAGTTCGGGGTGAGGCACAATAGGGAGATCTACAAGATCACCAAGTTTAAAAGAGTTTTGTACGTCGGAACATTGGGAAGAGTCTGGAGAAGAAACTGGCGAGATGGGTCTGAGGAGACAACCATAGCCAAGTTCCAATCCCTCCTTCAGTGAAGTCCCTGAAGTAAGTGTGCACCTTGCTCTACTCTGTCTGGTGATTCTGCCCCTATTTTTAGATTAGCGAAATGTGGCTTGTCAATTTGTAGACAGTTGAAAATCAAATTTCTTACTGTGGAACAGCCATAGCCAATTTCTCCTACCTGTCTTCTCTGACTTTTACTAACCCTGTTTGTCCCTCGCTCTGACTCAAATTTCATGTGTGACTGCATTACAGTATTGCGATTCAGTCTGTACAGGGTCAAGAAGAGGCAGACCAAAAGGAGGCCAGACGGAAACTTCTCATTGCAAACATAGAAAAGATCAAGGTGAGTGGATCTTCCAGTCGGTACAGTAAGGACATGGCTGAGTTCATGCTGTTGCAGGATGATATCAAGTGGTCCTACTTTCCTAACTGGGATGAGAAGATTACCAGTTTGGAGAACAGCCATTTTGAGCTTGCTAGAAAGCTCGATGACATTTCCTCCAAATTCGACCATCTTTTTACACATCTGCAGATCTCTACACCTCTTGGGAGCCGTAAGGGAAGCCCCAAGAGGATCCTACAACTCGAACGTACATCCCCAGCCTCTACACCCGAATCAACAACCGCCTCACAACGTTCAGGTCCATTTTATTTGCAGTGGCCCAAGCTGACACCTCCACCCATATTCTCTACAGAGTACCCCAAGGTGGATGTTGCAGATGTTGCAGATTGGGTTACTGCACAGAGAACCTACCTGAGTGGGTTCAAATGTGACGAAGATGTGAAGGTGAGCACAATCCTTGCTCGTCTGGAAAGGACTGCACTGAAATGGAGATGTTCGAGTAGGCGCAAAGACTGGGGGTGACTGGTTTTCTGCAAGCACTGAATGACCGGTTTGCAGACAAGGAGTAGGCTAGGAAAGCAGCAGACAAAATTGTCCGCCTGGGCCAAAAGAAATGGGATGGCTTGTTGGTCGAGTGATCTCGACCTTCGAGATGAGTGAGCAGGATCAACTCATTCATTTCCTGAGGGCAGCGCCTGAAGAATACCAGCTTGCATTGTTTTATCAGGGCCATAAGGACTGGCGTTCCTTTGGCAGAGCAGCCTTGGACTTGGAATCCAAACTCCATGTTCAGGAAGCCCCTTCTGAAGGAAGGAAGAGACCCTCCTCAAATGGCAATAGAAAGAGGAAGGGTGCTCCCTTTGTTGCAGCCTCAAGTTCAAGAGATGAGTCGGTTTCTTAGAGTGGGAGCCCTCCATCTGAGACCCCCTCGTCTTCTGCTGCAGATTCAATTGTTCTTGCCCTTACTGACTCTGTGATGGGCCTTGCAAGGGGAAGGCCCTGGCCTAGAGAGCACCAACCAGCAGCAAGGGGAAAGGAAAGAGACGTGCCTCTTCCATGCGGCCCAGAGAGTACCATTGCCACGAGATGTCCACTGACCAGCTGACCCCCTTGATGCTTCCACCTTCCCTTGGCATGCACTCAGGATCCAAGAGGGAGCATGGAGGAAGAGGAAGGACAAGGGAATCTGGCTGAGGTGCGCGGGGGACCACTACTTGAAGGACTTTCCCCACATGCCTCGCAGGCCTTCAGGCTCTAGTTTAAAAAACTAGAGTGGAGAGAGGTGGAAACAACAACTCCTTCCACCTGTGCTGAGTCATCTTATGATGAATGTGTATCTTCACCCTCTCTAGCTGATTCTTTTCTCGGAGTTGGAGCATCAGGGTCCTTCACCTATGAGGACACTGATCTGGATGAGACGTGGGAGGAGGATGAATTGCTGGTCCTTACTGATATTTTAATGTCCTTGCAGAATCGGGGGTTTTACTCTTGCTCACTCTTGCTCACTCAGCACGATTTCGCCTCTTTCTGACACAACTCTGACTTGGTTGGATTAGGCTCCTAGGGGAGGACATCCTCATGAGTTTCTACCCATAGGTTCCCTAACCGCTCTACCCATGGATTAGGCTCCTAGGGGAGGACATCCTCATGCGGCCTTCTCCTTGCTTAATCAATCCAAATTCATAGTTTCCATTTCAAAACACAATCTTGTCCAAAGTTCACAATTCAACCGTCCCAAACTAGTCCCGTTCCCATGTCCCTTGCCAATGTCCTTCCGCACATAATCCTTTCAAGGTAGCGTGTCCAAAGTTGCGCATAACTGTTTCCTTGCCCATCCAAGCTAAATCCTGACTAGTCCTTGTCAACAATCTTATCCATACTGGTCAAGCTTCACTCCTTCTGAAATTGCAATCACAAAATTAGGTCAAAATGCATCCTATGCCAAGTCTCTTCTACTGTCATTAGTCCTTTTGAGCTTGGGCGCTTGCTCGTCATCCCTTTCTACTGGTCCCTGGGCTTCCAGGTCGGAAGCCAAGATCTCTCTCTTTCTCCTCGCAATCCTTCACAGTTCTTCCTCACTGTAAAAGTCCAGGGGTGTAGCCGCCACTCCGGCCCTCGTTAGTTCCCTGGTCTTGATGACACAAGTGGTTAACGGGGACCCCCACTTTTCGGCCCTGGGTAACGATGAATGATCCTGAAATTAGGGTTTCGGGGTCAAATTTTGTGTTTTTTTGGAATTTTTGTTTTTGCCTGTTTTTGTTTTAGGACAAGCTAATTGTGTGTCAAATTTGGTGTCATTTGGGTTATTAGAATTTGTGCTGTTAATCATCTTGAAAATCCTAAAATTTTGATGAAGTTGTTTTTTAGCAAAATTGCCTGAAAATGCACTTTTGAGTTGCTGTTTTATGTGTTTTTCATTTATTTTTTTTTGGTATTTTTTTTATAATATGTTAGTAAGAAGTGCACTCTATAGATTGGTGTGAAGTTTGCTTGGGATGGCCTTATGGTTTTCTTATAAATTGAGGTGAAAAATGGGGGGTCGGTTAACCTTTTCTTGGAGGGTCCTTCCTTCGGCCCGCTTGTCGAAGGTTGTCCCTCTGCCCTAGGCCTCGTCTGTTTCATCTCCACTATTGATGGCAATGAATTTCTGCACCTCGTCATCGCTTTCATCCTCTTCCTCCCGTACGGGGCTGAACTCACCCGTGAAGTTCTCTGGATTTAAGTTGTAAGGAATATCCGTCCTTCGTTCAGGTTCGTGCCAGAAACTTGTATACCCCCTCTCAAAACTGTCATGCCCGCTTCGGTCGTCTTCCTCACTTTTTTCACAATTGTGATGCACACTTTCTTTTTCCTCGTCTTCTTTCACCGTTGTCATGTGCAGTTTGTCTTTCTTCACCCTCTCTCTCACCATTGTCATGCATAACTTCTCTCTTCGTCCCTTCTCTCACAACTATCACTCATACCTTGCCTTCCTTCGTCTCTTCTCTCCTCCTCTCTTTGCTCCTCTGTTTCTCCCTCAGACAAGGGCTTCAATTTCTCACCTTCTTTAAGGGGCGAGGACTTGCTAGCCAAGAACTTTCTTCTTCTCCTTCCTAGCATCCGTCTTGGTTGTGGCCCAATAAACAACATTGGTCTTTGTTTGTCTCGTGGCCTCTCAGACCTCTGCCGCTCATCCTCGAAGGGCGTGTTCGCGCGGTTGATATCATTCTCGTTGTTAAGTTTCCTCTCTTGAGGTTTTCCCCGTGCCTGCCATCACAAGGAAATGGAAGCCCTAGTCCATATTCCCAATAATGACAGCATCGTCCAGGCAGTAGCAAAAGCAAAACCCCGTTTCCTTATAATGACAAAATCGCCCTAATTTCCCAGTATGCACCCCTTTGCCCAGTTTCTATTTATGCACATTCATGAAATGAGTCGTTCTGCGTTTCCCACTTGAATCCCATCCCTCCTTTCAAAAGTTATGATCCATTGGCCCAGGCAACCATCCCGATACCATCCCTCACAAAAATTATGGTACAATGCCCCAGGCATCCACCCCAATATGATCCGCCACAAAAAATATGGTACGGTGCCCAGATGCATCACTCATCCCATGCAATCTGCTCCCGTAAGCATAGTCAAGAAACTCGTCCCCCAGAAAAACAAACGTGTTACAGGTAAGATCTCTGCTGGCGCCTTAGCCGGCCTATTCCCCAACCTCCTTATCCCGAGCCTCTTGCAACCACGGTTCCACTGGTTCTCGACTTAGAAATCTGACCAGCCGTTGTCTTGGGAATGACCCTTTCACCCTGGTTCCATCCAAATCTTCCAATTCAGAAGTGTTCATCCTCAGCCTCTTGGTGACTTTGTAGGTGCCCTTGAACCTTCTTCCCAACTGTCCTGACCAAGTGCTTTCTAGTGCTGAATTTTTGACTAGGACCATTTCCCCCACCTGTAGTGGATTTTTCCTGATGTTCTTCAGTTGATCCCACCTTGCCTTGTCTTTCATTCTGCTATCCAGAACCTTGCTCACTATTTCTTCTATTGCCTCCTCATTTTGAGCAACCTACTGACATCTAGCCTCAATTAACTGTTCCGTCGTCAAGCGTGGGTCATTATCCAGCCTATTCTAAGTTGGTACTAGGGCTTCCACTGAGAAGTCAATTTCTCTCCCATACCACAACTCGGGCCGGATACATCATGTAGTCCTCTTTGGAGTCATGTTCTCTGCGAACATGGCCTGCTTAAGATACGTAGGCCAATTGCCTAGATCATTCGCTGCTAACTTTGCAATCGTATTTTTCAAGGTCCGGTGTCCTCTCTCCACGGGCGCATTGGCCTCCGGGTGGTATGGCTCAATTAACTTGATGGGCACCCCAAGCCTTTTGCAGGTGCTCAAGACGTCTTGGTTTACGAACTCTGTCTCATTACCAGCTATGAATCTTCCGATGAATGGGTGCCTTAGGTAAAAGTCCTCGATCTAGTCTGCCACTTCTAGTCCGGTTTTCTTTCTTAAGAGCTACCTTCTCCACGAACCCACTAAGATTATCTCTAGCGTCAGGTATGTACCTGTATCCTTTCGTAGACACAGGCATGACCATGAGATCGAGATGAGCCAGGTGTCCTGGTCCTAGCACTCGCGTGGGTCTCAAAGTTTCAAAAAACCGAGTCGTACTTTGCTCTTGACAGATTAAGCAGGTCTGGCAATATGTGGCAACCATACTCCCCATTCCTGGCCAAAAATAGAGTGGCGCTATTTTCGCTAAGGTCCCTTTCGAGGAGCGATGTCCCCTTGCCAACCCATCATGCGTTGCCTGAATTATGTCCACTTGCTTTGATCGTCCGCACACAACCCTTCTAGGCATTAGTCCTTCCTCTTTCCTGAATAGTATCCCATTCTTCAGTGCATACTTATCGGCTTCCTCTTCGGCCTTGAGGCTGACCTCCTCAACTTCCTTGTTCCCTACCAGTAATGGACCGATCTCCTTGAAGAGCCCATCGTGCAACCGGATGAGGAAGAATTCCTTCCGATCTCAGCGATCCTCCTATCCGTTTTGTACTTGGTTTACTAGGTACTGTTGCCGCTTCTGTTTCCATGATTCAACCAGATTCGTAACCGCTTTTCGTCCCCCTTCTACAACCATTGCCATTAGCTCTTTCTGAGGCCCCATAAGGTCACCCCATGAGTGTTTTTCTTCCTTAGGGCCGGTCCTTGTAACTGCTCCTTCCCTAAGTTCTGCAATTACTGCCAGAGGCCCTTTCTCCAATGCCTTAATCAACAATTCCCCGGATGTGCAGGCAGGCTCTACCATCTCGTTATCTACCATAAGGGTCCTCCCTCATAATTGAGGAACACATCAATAGGTTCCGCGTTCTCTACTCCTTCTGGTGTAATGCATACCCTGTTGAAGCCATCAGCCCTATTCCTAAGACCGGCTATGCGCTCGAACTTGTAATCAAACTGC